TTAATAAAATTTTGTAAAATTTTAAAAAGAAAAAATAAATACAATGAGTTTTATATATAATTTACAATTTGTACCCCTACCCTTAAATAGTCGAAAGTAATTAGTTTGCATAATAGTCGTCAAAAGAAGGGAATATAAGAGGGAGAGAAATTCTTGAAGATTCTTGGTTAGTCGGTTAGTCGATTAGTTTGACAGTTGGATTTTGGATAGTACTGTTAGACCTAAAAATTGTCAATCACAACCGTCTTTAATTTCACGTGATTAATGATATATGAAATGCGTGACCATGTAACATATGCGCCAAGAATTCTACTATTTCTACTAGTTCTACTAGTTCTACCAGTTCTACTAGTTTTATTAGTTCTATCAATTCTATCAATTCTATCAATTCTACCAATTCTACTAGTTATAGCCGTTCTATTATTATTTACTTCACTGTAATTAGTTCTTCATATGTATTAGATATATTTGCTTGCACATTAATTAATCCATAGAATAGATCTAGTATAATCGATATATAATATTTTCCAGTTCAAGAACATGTATAAATAGCCCTGTTATTTTCCCTCGAATCATTAGTTTCTCATAGAACAAAGTAATAAAGAGTAAACTCCTATTAATACGACTACTTATATCTTCATATATATTTAGCCGTTTGCCTCTTTCGTTAAATGCAAATCACTTGAATCCTCTTAAAGCGTAAATGCAATAAACCATATATTTTACTTAAGTATAAACACGGTATTGTTATCAATCGTCTAACAGATCCGTAGCTAAAGTAGAATCGTTATACCAAACTTATAAGAGGTAGTTTTCAGGTGTAACAGTACTCTGGGTAGTACTTCTTTGATTTGGAAGAAATAGTTAGTCTGTTGAAGGTTTTGGTTGTTTTAGTGTCTTGCTTATAATTAATAAATACTTGGTTCTTTCTCTTTAATGCTTACAACCCTAAGCTAAATTGGCTCATAGTCTCTCCCCTGGGTGTAACAGGACCCAAAACTGACAAATATCCGGGTTATATCTATAGGCCGAACCATTAATATATGTTTATACTTGACTCACCGTGACAATAATGGTTCATTTACTATTTAAATCTTGTGTATAACCTAAAATTAGAATTGCAAAGTTTCTGCGCCAATGCGTTGGTTACACATATACCGCAGATTCTCATTGATGATTATATTAGCAGCGAAAAATAAAATTGACGGCCGATACGATTATTGTATATAAAAGGGAAAGAAACATTCGTTTCAAATTTAATTACAACAAAAAAATTTACTGTATATACTATAAATTTCTAGAATTAACATTTGATTTTTTTTATTATGACCAACGAAGAAATTGAAGTTTTACAAACAATTTACACTCATGATTTTACAATTTCAAACACAAATCCTAGATGGTATGGAGTAATGGTTGCTACTGGTGATTCATATCAACATGAAAACAGCGAAAGTATAGAACAACAATATGTTCATGTATTATTTCACGAACCACCTGGATATCCTTCTGTGCCTGTCGAAGTTCGTATTGCTACACCTGTGCTAATCACGAATTCAAAAGCCTCAAATTATTTAAATGTAAATGATGGTAACGTTAAAGAAGAATTGGAAATTATATTGAATTTAAAAGCACAAGAGATGGCAAATAATGAGGAATTTGCGATGTATGAAATTGCAGAATTAGCAAGAAATTGGTTATGGGATAATCAACAACTTTCAAATACTTTTAATGTTAGTCATGATTGGTGGGTAGGAGAATTGCCAGATAGAATATTTAATTGGCAAACAAATTCATATTCGCCTTCAAAAATCACGGAACTTCAATTTCGTGTGGAGCTTCAAGTTATTGAAAACTGCAATATCAAAGTTGATGTTGCAAAGGTTAGATCCTTTTTAATGATGAACCTTTGGAATGTTGAAAAGACGATCGAGGCTATTACAAAGAACATAAACGAAAATAATCACGACGCAAATATTAGCATTACGCATGTAGCCACTGATGACGTTGATGAAAAAAGTTGTAACATTTGTTTGGACACTTTTTTACCCTGTGAAATGATAACTTTTGTCACATGTAATCACAGAGTATGTAATGAATGTTTAATTCAATACCTTTAATTAAAAATATCAGAAAATCAAGTGTTTACGATTGGATGCCCCGGTGATATCAATTGCCCATATTTTGTTGACCCTATAACAATTGGACGATTATTATCACCGAAATTAGTTTATAAATATTATTCTTGTCTTCGTGAATCCTTTAATCAACTTCAACAGCACACAGAAATCACAAAAAAATCTAAATCAACCTTTCAATCAACAAAAAAATTTTCCTGGTGCATAAATCCTAAATGTAATCATTCTTTATCTCAACAAAATGCGGATAGTATTGAATTACCAGCAATATTACATTGCAAGGGTTGTACTTCAACTTGGTGTTCCTCATGTGATGTTATGAGTGGACACTGGCCATCATCATGTAAAGATTATGAAACTTACCTTCTTACAAATCATACCATAAAATCTCTTAAAATAAATAAAACCCAAGATTTTGATGATATTATGACGAAACCATGTCCAAATTGCAAAATTTTGATCTCCAAGAATGGAGGATGCATGCATATGACATGTAGATTTTGTCAGCACCAATTTTGCTGGGGCTGTTTGGTCGAATGGAGATTAAGGGTCCATAGTAATCTTTACGAATGCGATCAACAAATTGATGGAGTTGAAACATCATTTGAAGTATTTGATATAAATGATATGCAATTTTTACCTGGAACACTTCAGAGAAAATTCAAACAAGATGTAATTATACATTCACAAACGATAAGAAAGGAACAAGCGGATTTGGATATTTTGATAAAACAATATAAAAACGGATTAAATACTAAAAACAATAGAAAATTGAGGATTCATATAACTAAATTATTAATACAGATTCATTATGTCATAAAATTTGCATCTGTAGGACTTTTTTGTAAATCGGATAAAGATAAAAATGAAGTTAAAAAAGGGATGGAAATTTTACGAAGGTTAGAATTTGGATTGAGAAGTTTAGAAAACGTCAGAGAGCAAATTATTGAAATTGAAAGAGATAACTTTGGAAAAGGTAAAAGTAATATATTTAGTATAGTAGAATTTAGTATAGTAGATGAAGAGAAAAGATTTAAGCAATTGGAATGTGAGATTGAACAGTGTAAAGAAAGATTAGAAAATAATATAAAGAACCTTGTAAAATTACTCAATTACTTAGTTTAATAAAAATTTACATTTCTTTAATTATTAATATGTAAAGTTTTATGACGTTAGGCTAGGGATGTTATGTGATCTGGTCTTAGACTAATGAACCACAGTTAGTCTTAAGACCAGTTTGAACTCGAAAAAAATTGGTCTGCTCTAAGTCTTAAGACTGGACTAGTCTGGACTAACAAAGTCTTAAAAATAGAAACCATAATAGACCAGACCAGACCTGGACCAAAATGGACCAGATTGGACTGTTAACATCCCTACGTTAAGCTATAAAAGACCCTAGTATTATTATTCTTGCTCAGAAACAAAATAAAATGGGCTAGGTGTTGAGAAAAGGGACGAAATAAAAAAAAAAAAAAAAAAATCAATTTTTATATTATAAATTTTATAATAAAACATAAGAAAATACAAACTTTAAAAAGATACTGCAAAATTTTATTAGTTCAGCTACTTTTGTGTGTTTTAAGTGAAAAATGATCCTAATCTTGTTTTAAATTGATTTATGTAAAGAAATTTTCTTTTGAAAAAATTGTCAATTTCGTCCCTTTTTCTAGCACCTAGCCCAAATTATCGTTATAAATGATCCACTGCTAATGATATGCGATTGAGTGAAGCGGCAAACTAGTACACGCTTGACGACCGCTGAATTTTGCTTAGATAATTAGTAATCAACTTATTATGGAAATCTGGTGTTGGGTCGTGAAGCTCGCCTATAATATGTTCTAAATACATTATACATAAGTCATGTGAAAATCCTTACTTCTTAGCGCGTCGATGAAATTGCGATCAAGACAGATCGGGTTCAGGTATGAACTCGAAACCACGGACAATATGTTTTTTATATACATATATACAACACTTTATTGTCATAATTACAATACTATTGACTCTTGACAAACTTTTTGATAAAAAGTTCTTTATATCACCATTACCACCACACCATATACCACCATATTTAATACGCGTACTTTTTAAATTGAATAACAGTGTTATACATGAGTTTGGATTTCGTAAAAGCTTTATAATTAACTGGAGTATCTATAATTATGTATTCTTTTAATATAAATTTAGATTTGAATATGCTTGGACGGGATGTTGTTCATACCAAAGATCATCGCTATGTTATTTCCGCTTCTTGTTATTAAAAGTAGATTGAGGTATTAATCGACTCAACGATTTTGATGTCTCTTAGTTGATTGTTTATCAATGATATTGGTACTGTATCTATACTCAATTTGTCAGATTGAATATTTGAATTAACCAAAGATCTTGTTACATCTGTACTTCCATTCGGAACCACCAATTCAATGTCGTTATTATCTCGAATTTTCGGTATTAAGAAGAGATGCAACAGATGTCTTCCAAAATTTGTATCCGATCTAACATTATGTTCCTCTGATTCGTTAGATTCATCATTATCAACTAAATTATTTTTCACCACTTTGCAATTTTGGCATCAGTTTCTACTGAAGTAATCAATGATGCTATTTTAGTTATTAATATTATCGTTTACATCGGTTCCAGCGTAATCTTATATCAATAAATTTCGAAAATTCCATCTGTAAATCTAAAATTTTTTCTTATAATCTAAAAATAAATATTACAAAAAAGTAATCTTTATTTTCAAATATTATTATACCAAATTTTATTTGAATATTTTAAATTGTTAAAAAAAATATATTAGTAGCATATTTATAGTACCAACACAAGCAAATTTGTCTGTGTTGGCCTACATTTTAAGGGATAAAAAATATATTTGATTGTTTTAAAAAAATTTTTTTATCAATATGTCTTTTTTATTGACATTAATTTTTTTATTCTTTCTGTATTTAGTAATATATTTGTTGATATTGAAAGTTCAAGATTATTTTGCAAAATATTATACTAATAAATATTGTTAAATGAATTCTTGGAAATGAACTTCTTGAAGATTAGAAGCAATACAATATAATAAAATAATTTAGCTTTTCCAAATTTGTCATCATCAAACAAACTATTGTTTTTAATTTCTTTTTAAATTCTCAGGTTTTGATAAATAGTCAAGGTTTTTTTCTAATTATTTATTTAATTATACACAATATTTTTTATAAATAAATCAAAAAATCAAACTAGCAACATTTTGCAGCAGAAAAAGATGTTTGTAGAGAACCAGAAAATTAAGTTTAACTTGAAATGAAAAGTTTTAATTGCTACTATCTAATTAAACTTGAATATTCAATAAATGTTCAAAGCAATATCCTAAAGAACTTTTAAGCTTTAGTAATATACTTTTGAATTATTTAACTATCATAATGATTATACTATAATATATTAACACATATTAAACCATTTTAAATACTTAAAAATCAATTAGTTATAATTTTTAAAATCATGTTTTAAAATATTTGCTATTTTTAGTTTAAAGTAATATTTCTTTAATAATAATAAATCTTATATAACACCCAGAATATTTTTCTTATTAAATAATGGAAAAAAATATATTTATAACTCTATTTTATAAATAAGAAAAGTTTTATATATAGGTTTAAACCACAGAAACTTTTGTTTGAGTCTTTATTCTTGTTATCTTTTGAATATAAAATTCATATATAATTTTTTGTAAATTTTCTTGTAAAAAAATTCAATGAAGTTTTAATAAAGTTTTTTTTTTTTATGTTAAGGTGATCACTTTGGGGTCTGGCATGTTTTATTAAACTTTGGATCAAATGCCAGGACAACCACAGGAGCTACCTCTAACTTTGTTACATTAACAAAGATATATACTAGCTATATGTATAACTTTTGGTTGTCTATTTAAGCAGTCTTGCATATGTAACCTATATGAACTACACTAGATGTCGTATTTATAATCACTATTATTTAAGTTACCCAATTAAACCCTCTGATCAACTTAGCACCATCAGGATATTCTACCCAAAGAAGGAACTGCCGCTAAAGCCCCTTAGAACTACTTTATTCTCATAATAAACCTACTAGAGTGGTCTATGTCTTACACATGTATCACCTAGATTTTTGGTAATTTACGCCTAGGCCACGGCCAAGTACTTGCAGCTTTTTACTTCCGCTACTATTATCTACTCTGTGCCCTTGCAAAGTTCACCCAAACCTCAGCATCCACTTTACAGACTATCAACAGTACTTTGATGCCAACTGTCAATGCTCCAAACTTCCAATCTAAATGGCCCGAGAGGACCATTAGGCGATCCCTGATATTCCGAATGAATCTTTTTTCCTCTGGCTGATCTAGTGGCCTGTTGGTGTAGTGCTTGCCAAACATTCAGTCCTTGTTTAGTTTACCTTTGGTGTCTGGTTCCTCAGATAATAATCCTTTACGTAGCACTGTACTACCTCTCTACTCAGGACTTTCTAAGCAGGCTTCTGTATTCTCTGATCTCTTGGATTTATTTGGCTGCTTCACTTGAGGTTCGTATAATTTATACATTACACTATGTTCTACAACCTTCCAATACGAGTTGGTGAGACCAAAGATATAGGTGTATACCCGATCGATATATCATACAGTTTTACCGTAATGCATTTTTGCAAATTTGAATTTTGTTACCAGTGGGATTCGAACTCTTGTCCTGCCGCTTGGGGGTGCGACAACTTACTAACTATACTAAGTCATCACACTCTAAGTTTTAATAAAGTTAGAGGCATAGCCTCACCTTAAGATTTTAAAAAAAAAGTATTATATAGAGACATGTTTTCATGAAGACCCTATATATAACAGCTAATTATATTTAGGATTAATAAAATTTTTTATATATTTTTAACAAAATTAGAAAATTTGTAGCTAATTTTAATTGGCCAATAATAAGTAATATATTCTATAGTCACATGCTCAATTTTGATTGGTTATTTATATAGAGTCTTCATGAAAACATGTCTCTATAAAATAACACTCTTATAAATATTTTTTTCAACTTAGGTAGTCACACTAGTGATCAGGTTTAATAATGTTTCAGTCTTGTAAAAGATTATAAAATTGCAACTTCATCATAATTTATAATATTAAATCTTAGATCCAACATCTTATAGCTATGTTATAACTAATTAATTTTACCAAAACACCTATTAGTAATACACCATATTAGCAAAGTATAATAAATTAAGATAATATTCTCTAGAGGTTTATTCAACTATTATTTTACAATAAAATACTGCCAATCTAATAATATCTTCTCATAAAAAAATAAAAGAAATAGAAAATTATTTTAAAAAAACACAGAAGTATAGAGAAGTATAATAAAATATACAAGCAAAAAAGATAAATAAAAAACAAAAAATAGAATTTTTTATCTATAATAAATAGTTACAATTATAAGCCTGTGTCAGGTTATAAAAATTATATATTACTATCTAATCTTTACTCTAATTTATATAATTAGTTATCTAAGTAAAAATCTCTTATTAATAAAAAAATCTATATAAGTAGGATAATTTTGGGAGTTCTGGGACACTTTTTCTACACCTCTATATAACTAATGTTTAAAAATTATTTTAATCGGCATCCTGCTATCACTAGTCGAAAACTATGAATTTGATCTGGTTAAATTACAATAACATTCGGCAACAAATCAGCTGATTTTTTTAAAATTCAGTAGCTTTAACATTAATTCGACCTAATTTAGTCAAAAATTCGACAACTGAATTTTAATAAAATTCGACTATGCCGATTTCTTCAA